TCTTTCTTTCTTTCTCGTTTTATGTAAAAAAACTTGTTTGCTATCATATTTTTATGTTATACGAATGTAAATTACAATTCTTGGATGTGAATTGAATTTCTTTCAAGAGTTTTCTTCGTGACCACTCAATTTTCATTAGATACGTTTAATCTTTCGTAAAAGAAAAAAATTCCATTTTCAAATTCTATTCGTTTTTTTTTTTTTTTATTCTCATCCAATATTAATCGAGGTTTAATACTCAACGAAGAAAATTGTTCTCTAAAAGCTCAAGAATCAAGTCAATTTACCATACAATCTCATTTCAATCGGTTTTAAAAAGAGCAATTGATTTTTTTTTTTTTTTCCCCTCCTCCTTAAGCGTTAAGCTCTTCTTCGAAGTAACGCGCTCGTTATTCTGTGTCAAAATTTCGTCGATTTCCATCCGAGAAGCCATCGGTTCCAATATCCGATTATAATAGTCCTTCGAAGAGGGACTTGCGTAGGGCAATTTATAAAGTTACAAGGCACGACGTTATGGAGGGTAATGGATCGTTAGTCTCACGGTGGATGGTCGAATCACGTCGCGGAACGTGTTGACGTTTACGCTGATAGATGCCATCTTCCACGGCAACTCCTCCTTCTGTCATAACGCTCCTCTGTCGTCAACTCATTAGAATAGATCGACGAAAATTGACAATTTGCATTCCGGATTATATACAGATTTAATAATAGTTGCCGGTTAGCAGTCGCTAAATTTGTACAATCGCATCAATCTGCTTAAATAACGTATTTAACGCGCGTTTCATTATATAAGAATAACACAACGCCTACGCAATGACGCGCAATTCTTCACGATGGATTATTACCGCGGCTTAACGCAGCCCCGTTCTTCGTTACACAGGAATGGAAAAACGCGGGGGAAAAGGCTACGAGAGCACGTTTGAAAATCTAGCGCGACACGAATAGCTCGTGTTCCCAATTGAAAGTCGGGAAGAGGTGGTCGATCGGCGCAATAGAGGAACACTTTGTCCGTCGGACACGGATGTCCAAAATCGCAATCTCCGCGAGACCTACAAGTGCCAATATCGAGTTTCACGGACTTGTAAAAAGCTTCTATATCTATGACCCGGATGTATCCATTCCCAGACCAGAGCCAGCCTAAATTTTGCTTCGATGTTTCTCCCGTTATTAAAAATATCCCCGCCCTCTCACGCTCGCTAGATCTCGCCGTCCCGAAATTTTTTTACACCCTTCCTTCCTTCCACGACGCACAGACGAACAGAGAATTCGCTTTAATGAAAAAAGTAATATCGGATTCTCTCTCAACGGGGCGAAAAAAGGAGGAAGGGAAAAATTACGTTCCCATCCTTCGTTTCGACAAAGATATTCGATGGATATTCGAAGAATTTAACACCGTCATATTCCGTTTAAACTATAACCACAACTACTCCTCCTCCTCCTCCCGATCTATCTATTATTCGCGTATCAACGATCGTTTTGGAAACTTTGCGACACCCTCGATCTTCGTAAAATCATCCATCATAACCGTCGGATCACTCGTTTCAACTTCAACCTATATATATTATATAACTTCATCCTACTTTCAATCTTCCATCCAGTTACCAACATGCAAACCAAGTTAAGCCACCCTAATGAACTTAACTCTCGAGACTCGTAAATTATCCGAAACACCCTTTTTCCTTCCTTTCTCTTTCTCTCTCTCTCTTTTTTCTTTTAACGAAACGTCAGGCGTCGATTATATCGTACGAGGCATAAGCGGGGCAACTTTCACAACAGTTGCTGGCAAAAGTTATCCGCGTCTTTTCGCTGCAAGATTGCAGCCGAAACTTTCGTGCGGGGGAGAACAGATCGATACGACGCCCGTCACGACACGGAATCCGTGTAACGTAGCAGATTCTCTGGCTAATAGCAATGCTTAAATCGGGACCTACGATTTTTCCTACGATAAGTTCGAATGTGGACGGATGGAAGGAGGAGAGGAATCTCCATCCAGATCCCTCCTCCTTCGATATTCTCTCGTATCTCAACCGTTTTACTTGGCCCAACCAAATGAGTATTCGCGGAATCGAATGATCGACGAGCATGATTCATCGGAATCGTCCTCCAAAATTTTCTTCTACCTTCCTCTTTCTGGGAAAGGAAGGAACAGTCGGTCGAATAGCTCGCATCGTCATTGCTTCGATTATTTGTTCATCAGCAGGTGAGCGTTTGTTTTCACGAGTTTGATAATCGAATCGTTCGGTTATGTAATTCCTCGATCCGTTATTATGTATCGGCCACTTTATCCGAACGGAAGTTATCGAGAACGGAATTTACACGCCGCGAATTTATCGACTCCGAGTTTGCAATGGTTTTGGTTTGTGTTAAACGATTGAATTAAATCGTTGGCAGGCTAGCGGTGCTCGAAGGCACGCGTGATCACGATTCCTTGAATTTAATCTATGTAACGACGCAAATATTTTGCGTATTCTATGCAAATACGTAATTATAATATTGCTGAAATTGTAATTCAATTATTACCATACGTATATATCCGGCCAGAGGTCGTATCTCCTTCCTTTGTGTTAATTAAAAGATGTAATTCAATGATGAAACTCGCGAGAAAAGTAAAACGTCAAAGCTCCGTTGTAATTTGTGCCAAACGTTTAAAACGTTACCGCGCGTTTATCAGAGCATACAGCGTTGCTTGGTTTCCCAGACGTCTGCTTGCTCGCCACACATCTGTAGACAAGAGCGACGCGACGACTCAAGACAGTCGGTCGAGTGTTTTGATACGAATCCTCTTTTGTACTTACTCCCTACTCGCCTCATCCCCGGGACATTGTTCAAGAAAAGTATCTTTTATTTCAAGAAGAATTTTTTAATCTTGCAAAAATATAGAAACGAATACAACATTTCCTCGAATCATCCTCGATCGAGTCTATATTTCCAATATACCTTTTACGCGAGGGAAGATATCAAAATTATATTTAATTGTGCTACAAAATTTCTTACTCTTATATTCCCCTTCGAGAAAAAAAAATTTGTTTATAAACTGAAACTTCAATTAAGATGCAACTCCATAGAAGAGAATTATCTTAAAATCATTTTTCCCTTCGAACAGAAAATTTTCGAACGAGCCTAACGATACTCGATATTCGATAACGGATACCAGAAGTCGATTCTCGTCGTGTACTTACGCTTAAGAAAACTTCGCGCACGATTCCGTCACCTGCACTCCAATTAATTTCAACAGCCACGTTAATCGATATCGTTTATAATAACACGTTTCGAACACGCTTGGAAAAAATCGTTGAAGAGAATCGCGATTTAACTACCTCTTCTCCTGCATCGCGAACCAACGAAATAAGCGAACGTATGGATCTATCCATCGGGTGAAGACGCGCCGTCCTCGACGGGCCGTGTTCACATTGGTGATGTGTCGGCACGCGATATCGAATATTCGAAATCAATATACAGGTTTCATAGGAGAGGGGGGGGGGCGGGTGCATCCCTCGATGCGTGCGCGACACCCACGCGTGCAACACCCCCAAACAGTGTACGTAATGCGGTTTAATACAGACCAATTGTATACGCTCGGTTTCGGCGAAGAGGCGGTGAGATTATATCTCGAGGCGACAGGCAACAAAGAAGGAAAACAAGGCCCTTGTCTGTGTGGAATCGCGTACGGTAGAACGAAGCGTATAGGCCGGAAGCGGGGCCGTTTTCGAAAACTCGTTCTCGATCGAGAGGATGATAAATCGGTTGGAATTTTATGAATATCATTAATTCGTGATTTCGAGATTAATGGGCACGTTAATGTTTATATCGCGTATTATACAATGCTGCCGTTTATTTTATTATTGTGCGAAACGTGAAGAGAATATGTTTGAGGAGATGATGATGCTTTTGATTTATTATTTAAACGATTTTTTTTTTAACTCTTCGAAAGAACGCTTTTTGAAACAGCGCGGGGAAGTTAAATTGATTAAGTCGATCGAAGCAATATTTTCGCGCTGAAATAAAAAAAAAAAAAGTCTAATTCCATCGAGGCGATATTTTAAATTGAAGATTTTTTTCGAAAAGCAAATTGTTGATCGATTCAACTTGATAATGACATTTACTCGCGCTATTTATACCAACGTTATATATATATATATTTAAAAATTTCCTATTAATTTGACGTTTACGTGACCGATATAGCAAGAATTGAACAGACCTCGTGGTAAAGGAGATTCGTTCATCCCCTCCCTCTCAAACTTTCCCAACCACCAAGCTGCAACTACGTCCACGGAGACCAGGAACGCTCCCTTTAAATCCTCGAGGAGCAAGGCCTCGAGTTAGTTGAAATTTTTCGATCCATCCTATCATCCTGACCTATCAGAAGAATCAGAGTTTCGTTCTAATCCTTTGCGGCCGTGTTCTATCCCCTCCCATGAGAGCTCTCCCCCATAACCTAACCCAACGCTAATCGGTAAATCTGCCCCCAAACTGTCAAAATCTCGCGCGTCGTCCTCCCTCCGTGGGTATATCTTTGAATTATCCGAGGATCGGTCGCAGCCAACCAAGTTCTCCCCGGAAGGGGAGTGAGGTTGACACCGTGTGATTTGACACGGTGACTTGTGCACAGTTGTGCTTGTTTCGCCGAATTTCTGACATCCCTCTCCTCCGAAGAGGGAATCCGCCCGGGAATTGATTAATCCACGGCCACCGTCGCCCGTCTGTTTAGCTTTGCTAACTTATTCAGGATTCGTTCCACGGTTGGCCGCCAATCGAGAGGAAAACCGATTCAATTCGTAGATTGAATTTCGCGCAATTTCGTTCGGCGAAACAAATTGCGCCTCCGACACACACCGGGATAAAATAACGGGGGTTCCTCCCGATACTTGCTGCTTCCCGATTTCTAAATGGAAACCGAGGAAGAGGAAGGGGAAAAAAAAAAAAAAAAAAGAACGAAGAAGATGACCGACTATCGATCAGAAGAAGAAAAGTTTCGCTCGCTCGCCGATCGATAAATGGATAGTATAATTGAGATGGCCTTTTTCTTTTTTCTCTTTTGCAGGATCGAGCGCGCACAAAAACGACGCGACAGGAAATGGAAGGCCGGCTCCCCTTTTGGCGGAACCCAGATACGGCGCCGCGCCACAGCCATACGGTAAGTGTGCCTCGCCCCGGCTCACGCCCCCAACCGGCCCCCTCCTCACCCCTCGTTTCTCTCTTTGATAGTCAAATTAAGCGAACTAATTGAGAAAACGGACGGGCCATCGAACGAGGTCGGCGTTCGATACTTTTCCCCGGGGAGGGAAACGCGCGGAAAACGGCTGAATCCGCGTAATTGTATAGCAGTAGTGATCCGTGATAGAAGTTTTCGAACTGTGGATTCTCATTTTACGGGCGGGGGACGAGTTCGAGTGAATAGTTCGTTACCGGAATTATTAGGCCAGAAAAAATGTGTCGTAACAGGATATTTTTCCCGAAACACATTCCCCGGACGTTGATAGTTTTATCGTGATAGTTGAATTATATTTTGTTATTTTTTTTTCTTTTTCTTTTTTTTTTTTTTTTTTTTGCTTCTCGTCGTTCGTTGTTTTTCGAAAGAATTGAAAGAACGGAATAAATGGAACGATTTCGGGCGAAATTTTCGAATGTTGTTTGTTGATCGTTTCGAACGGCGCGTGGTGAAAATTATCACGTTTGAGCGCAAATTGCATGATTTATAGCGGGGAGATAGCGGAGAGGCAGGTTTCCGTTACGGTTTCCTACGGAAAATTATTACGGCGAGTCGTGATTGAAGGTAGCAGAGCGCAGGAATTTTGACAGAAAATCGATGATTGTAATTGTAAGCCGAGTTATGTCGCGATCGAGCTATCGAAAACTATATAATCGTGGACGTAACTCAATCTGAGGAATCGCGGTGTCCGTTTGAAGAATGGGATCCGAGAAGCTTCGATAACGAGAAATACTCGTGTTCAATGATTAATTCGCTTCGTAGAATCGTATTATTTAAATCGAATTGTGGAATTGTTAAGCACATTTGATTAATATACGAACGTATCTTATACATCGATACAAAATTTGTCCCCTCCCCGTATAAAGAAAAAAATTTGGAAAATAAGTGCAGAAGTGAGAGATCTCTTCTTGCGGAAATAACGACTCGTCGGTGGACATTAAATAAAGAACGGATAAAATTCTGAAGTTGAAGAAAGTTCGACCGACTGAAGAAAAACTGGATCGACGTTCAAAGAATCAATGTGGAACTTGGAGAGCAATTCTCAGTCGGTGATTAGATCATAATTCTACCTATCGTATCATCAGTTGTTGCTTCAGAGAAAAATAAAATGAAATATTACCTTCCGTTGTACCTGAAAGAAAAATTTATCATAATCGTAACTTTTTGCGTTGTTGCTTTCTTCTCCTACCTACCTAACTATTTTTATAAAATCATTACACCTTTTTTTCGAATAATTAGCAAATAAAATATAAACCCACCTTCCAACAAAATCAGCCATATCCACCGATTATATCATCGAATAGTGACCAAATAAAAAAAAGAAGAAAAAAATCAAAATTCGCTGCTCGACTCGAGAAACGCGTGTCTAAACGATTCGAAGCTGATTTAAAAAAACCCATATTCCCCTCGTTCATTCGTCGACGCGTTAAACGACCATTCAGCGGGAATAATTAATATTTCCTCTCGCCCCTCGTGATTAATAGGGACGCAACAGTCGCTCGATTTCCATAATTAGCGTATAACCATTGGAACATGGAACGCGTTGCTAGATCACACGCTCGATATTACACGAGGTTGAAATCATCGAGAGAGAGAGAGAGAGAGAGAGAGAGAGAGAGGAGGAGGAGGAGAGAGAGTAGACACA